GTGAAGGCTGCGAGGTGAAGTCTATGTGAGGGCGGCTTCTGTGCTGCAACGCTGCCCGAGGGAAGCGGCGAGGCGCTCGCCAGGGCGCCCGCGGGCGGGCGCCGCACAGCGCCTCGGCGCGCCCACCCCGCGCACGAGCCGCCCACCCGGCGCCCACGGGCGGCCACGGGCGGGCACCGCGCGCGAGACCTCGGCACACCCCACTGGCCATCGCTCGGAGGGGCCGTTGAAAACAGGGCCAGGATCGGGATAAATCGCTCTCAGAGCGTTCCGGAGCGCTCTCGGAGCGTTCCGGAGCGCTCTGGAGCGGCCGCGGCGCCCGATACAGCCTCCAAACCCGCCGATTCCCAGAGATTTCGAATTATCCCGATCCGATTTTGTCCCGATCTTCGCGTCGTTTGACCGTTCCCCGTGCGTGCTCCGGTGCGGTGAGTCTTCTGTGCCGCAGGGGGATGCGGCAGGCTCCTCGAGGGCCCCCGCAGGAGACGAGACGAGCGCGCCCCAGCGGTGCCGAGCCAGCGCGGGCAGCTCCCCGAGGCGCCCCCGGAGGCGCGCAACACGCGCGGGCCCCATCGGCGAAGCCCACGAGAGGACCGGCCCAGCGCACGAGGCGCCTGCGAGGCGCCGAAGATGGGGTCGGGCGAAAGGGGGGGATAGCAAATGGGGGGTTTGAGAATCGGCTCACGCAGCTGATTCTCTCGGCGCCTCCCGGCGCCGGAGGCGGCTGTGTATCTAGGAATGGGCCCCTCGGTGAGGCCGAAACCAGCGCGCTGCATGCAGCAGCTTTCGTGACCCCCCCCTTTCTCCCAATCCCCCCCTTCCCCCCCTTTCGCCCGGCCCGAGAAGAGCACCCCGCGGCGGGCGGGCCCGCGCGGCGCCTCGGCACGCCCCGCGCGGGGGGACCTCCCACGAGGCGCGCCCACGGGCGGCGGGGCCCCCGGGGGCGGGGGCCGGGCGAGCGGGCCGGGCAGCCGTGGACGGCGCAGCGCGGAAGCCGGGCGAGGCGCACGCGCGTCGGGCACACTTTTGTGTCGCGGCCGCGAGCGAAGCGCAGGAGGCGTCCGAAAACGTCGAGCGGGCGACGCGCGAGCCCAATTATGCCGCGACCGAGCGCGGGATCAGAACCTGCCGCTGGGTGGGCAGCTGGCTGAAGCTGGGCTGGCTGAGCTGGCTGCAGGGGTCGGGCACACGCGACGCGTCCGGCCGGAAGGGGGGAGCATGGGGGGCCCCGGGACACACAACTCGAGGCACACAGGTCCTGGGCTCCCCCCTATTTTCCCCTCGCTTGCTGGGTCTTCGTCTTCCCCCCTCCCCCACTTTCCAGGATCTTTCCATCGGTTCCTGGGGATCGACGATTCATTGTGTCTTCGGGAGCGGCCAAGAGGGGGGTGTCCAAGAGGGGGGGGGGGTGCAAATCATGACCGGCGGCACGTGCGCGGCCCAGCGGGGGGGCAAGGGACGCAATGAGAGAAGGCGAGGCGCCATGAAATCTGGGGAAATAGCATGGCCCCCGCCATGATATCCCCCCCCCTAGCCATCCCCCCCTCTTTGCCGCCCCCGAGTGTCTGTGTGTGGTGCCCCCCTCCCGAGAAGAAAGGGGCAGGGGCCCTGTGTCTGTGTGTTGCCAGGGGGCCCGAAGCGCGAATCACTTCGCGCCCTCGAGGGCGCCCTTGGTGCTGTGCCCCCTCCCGAGAAGAGAGGAGCAGGGGCCCGGGGGAGGGCGGCCGCGGAGGGCTGGGAGAGAGGACGGGGGGGGCACGCGCCGCACCAGGGGGCCTCCGCTCGCCGGCGCTCGGGCGTCCATCTCCCGTGCAGTGTTCGGTGTCGTGCGTGTCTTTTTTTCGCTCGATGGTCCAGGATGGTCCTCGGTGCCTCTCGCCGAGAGAAAATGCACACGTCCGAGCGGTGCCAAGTTCGTCGGGGGGGGCCGGCGCGGCCCTCGAAGCCCGCGGGCACGCCCACGTCCGGTGCTGTGGGCAGGCGAGGGCGAACCCCGCTCAGAGCAAGCACTTTTCAGGGGGCGCTGTGCGACGGAGTGAGCTGGCATCTTCCCATGGCGCTGTCTTCCAGGATTCCTTCCCTCGTCTGGTGCTGAGGCAAGCGTCTGCGTTCCACACCGTCGGTGCATCGCCTGGCAATGCATCACGATGTGGCTTCTCAACCGCGCGCACGTTTGTCTCGCATGGGGTAAACAGGTCCCTGGGGGAAACGGGTCCTGGACCCTGTGGCCTGCCGCCAGGGCCGGGCCCCTTGGAGGGCCCCGGGAAGCCCGGAAGCGGTGAGAGAAACCTCGGGACCCGTTCCCCTCAGCACCCGTGGCCCCCCCCTGCAGGGGGCCACATGCGAACCCTACCCCTACCCCCCAAGATTTCTGAGGGGGAGGGTGGGGTTCACTTCGCTCGGGAGCTCCCCAGCGAAGTGAACCCCACCCTCCCCCTCAGAGATCTTGGCGGGTAGGGGTAGAGTTCGCATGTGGCCCCCCCTGGCGACTGCATGAGAGAAGCCGTCTGCCTCCCGCTGCACCCGAGTCCCGCCGCCGGCCCCTGCCTCCGCGACCTGCGATTCGCGGAGGTGCACCGCAGAGGCCGGGTTCCCTCCTCGGGCTCCTGGGTCTTCGACTCGAGTCGAAGACCCAGGGGCAGGGTTAGGTCGGGGGTGTCCCCCTCCAGGGGGATTGTCGACGAGAAAAAAGAAATATGCAAAACATGCTCCAAAATGGTTCAAACATATTCCAAAAATAGTCCCCAGACTATTTTTATATTATTTTTGGATTACTTTTGGGGTATTTGGATTTTTCGTCGAAGCTCCCCCTGTAGGGGGACAGGCCCGACTTTATGGCAGGGGCGGGGTGCATCGGCGGCGCGCCTCGGGGGGTGGAGGCAGGACGGCGCGGGCCCTCCGCGAAGGCTCGGAAGAGGCCCCCCCCCCCCGGACAGCCGAGCTGCTCTCGAGGCCCTCCCCGCGGACACGGAGGGCTCCGCGGCAGGCGCGGGGGCCTCTCGGCGGCGCGCCTCGGGGGGTGGAGGCAGGACGGCGAGGGCCGTCCGCGAAGGCTCGGAAGAGGCCCCCCCGGTCATCCGGGCTGCTCTCGAGGCCCTCCCCGCGGACGCGGAGGCCTCCGCGGCAGGCGCGGGGGCCTCGGGGGAGTCCCGCCGCCCTCCGGGAGGGAGGGCCTCCTCCTTCTCGCTTCCCCGACCCGCTCGCCGCCGGGAAAGAGGAGAGGCGGCATCGCAGCAGGAGGAGGAGGAAGAGGAGGAGGAGGAGGAGGAGGAGGAGGAGGACCCTCCCACGTCTCTCGTCGCTCCGGCCCGCGCGCTTTTCCGCACAGGCACGCCCTCGGGGCGCCAGAGCGGGCGTCTCTGCAAGGGCAGAGCGACGGCGCAGGGGGGGAGAAGCGGGAGGGCGTGGAGACAGGAAACAGCAACCGCAGGAGCCCCAACGCTCGGATCCCCGCGCGGCGCCCCGAAGAGGTGTGGTCACGTGGCTTCCCCCCTATCCTGACCGTGCTGCCTGTTGTTGGCGTGACACCTCCGCCTTCCCACACTTCCCTCCTCCTCCTCCTCCTCCTCCTCCTCCTCCTCCTCCTCCCTTCCCCATCCTCCAACTCGCTCATTCCCGCCTCTTTCACACACTCATGTCCACACAGACTCACTCATACTCAGACCCACTCACACTCAGCCCACTCACATTCAAACTCACTCATACTCATACTCACTCATACTGGAAACCGCGCATGCTCAGATTCACCGTCACTTTGTCAGCACACTCAGACCTACTCATACCCAGACGCACTCACACTGAGACTCACTCGTACTCAGACTCGGTCACACGCAGACTCACGCACAAGATACAGCAGGCGTGGCACTTGGGCAACCCAAAGGGGCGCCGCCATATACGGGGGCACTCCATTCTTCGCTTCCAGACTGTGGAGGCATCTCGAGCGGTTTGCCTGTGCCTCCCAGGCTTGTCTCTTTTGATGGCCCAGTGCTCACCGCAGTGTAGCAGGCGTCGAACTTGGGCACCCCGAGGGGGAGCTGGCGAGGGTGGGGACACTCCATCAGGGGTGTGGACACTCCAGCCTTCGCGCCCAGGTCTGAAACGGTTTGCCTGCCTTGGCCCCGCAGATTTCTCTGTTCTGGTGGTCCGGTGATCACCACGACAGCAGGCGTGGCACTCGGGCGACCCAACTGGAACCGCCATGGGTGGGGATGCCCCATTCTTCGCGCGCGCGCGTTGCGGGGATGTCTCCAGCGCTTTGCTTGCTTTGCCTGCCCACACTTTTCGAATGTGGTGGTCGGATGCTCACCCCGATATAGCAGGCGCGGCACCCGGGCAACCCAAGGGAGGAGGGGGGGCTCCAGGTGTGGGGGACACTCCATTCTTCGCGCCCAGCTTACGAGGATGTCTCAAGCAGTTCGGATGCCCAGAGTGTTACCTTTTGGTTGTCCAGAGATTCACCACCATATGGGAGGCGTGGTACTTGGACGCCCGAACGAGCCGCCAGGGGTGGCTGTATGTCATCCGTCGCGCCCGGATGATGGGGATGCCTCAGGCGGTCCGCTTGTTTTTTCCCCCCAGACTTCTCTGGCCCCCCTGGACTGAAGGGGCCCCCGGACGCACAAATAAATACACACACATAAGCATATTCTCCATATTTCCCCATATGTTCTGGGGTTCTGTCTTCCCCCCCACTTCCCATAGTTTCTAATCTTTTCTCGGGAGTCGAGGATTCATTGTGTTTGTGTGTGCTTTTCCCCCTCCGGATTGTTTCTCCCCCCAGACTTCTCTGGCCCCCCCCAGACTCCGATGCTCTCGGAACATGTTGACACGATTTCTCGAGGGAGGCGTCGGCCTCGGCAGCCCCCGGGGGGGCGCGGCGGCCCGGGGAGCGCCTCGCTCGCCCGTGCGCGGGCCGGAGGTTTGGGATGCCCCGGCATGGGTGCTCCTTTGGTGGTCTGGGCTTGTCTGGCCTCGAGGCAGCTTGCGAGGGTGGCTCGAGCGAAGCGCTGTCTTCGGCACCCCAAGGGGGTACAGTCGGCGCCTTGACCCAAGGAGCCCCAAATATAAGGAACGAGGCCCCTGTTTCCCACAAGTTGAACTTCGATGTCCCATCGAAGCCCTAAGCAAAACCAAGGGCGACCTACAAAACAACTAAGGAACACCGAGCCCCTCCCCAACGAAAAGGGTTCCTTCCTCAGCGCCCCGACTGTATAGCCACTGGAACTCTCGTCCCCAGACGCTCGGAGCCAGATAATCGCAGCGAGACGTGCCAGAAACACGAGATGCAAACATGCGGATCTCCGCATCGAGTCATTCTTCGTCGTGAGGGAGAAAGGTGCGGAAACTTCTGGTGTTGCGGGATAATCTTTTGGCAGCCGCTCAGACGAAGGACAGCAGGCGCATGAGCTGCATGGTCTGCCTCACCGCCTCCACGAACCTCACGTTGAGGCACGTCACCTCGAGCTGCTGGAGCCTCTCCGCAAGATTTGCGGCAGGGGCGGGGTGCTTCTCGAAGCTCAAGTAGAGACTCCCGTGAGTGACGTGCTCGTGGAAGATCAAAACAAGGCACAAGCATCAACTTCTGGAGGTCGGCACCGATTTCTGAGGTTGGAGCCGGCCCCCCCCCTGGCGGCGCCTCTGGCGCCGCCCCGCCACCCCTGGCGCGCACCCGCGCGCTAGGAGGAGGGGGATCCAGCGCCGATCCAGGAAAACCACGCAGACCTCCAATAGTTTGTGTGTGTGCAGATGTTTTTTCTTCTAGCTCGTCGCGCTGGTGGTGCCCGGGCTTCAGCGCCTCCTCGCACGGCGAAACGCACTCGAGCGATTTCACGAACGAGCACTTGTCCGGGAAGAAGAGGACGCCCGTGTAGTCCGAGTCGCAGTCCGGGTCCAAAGGGTCGAACTGCTCGTACAGGCTGTTCTCTCGGATGCGGACGAGGGCCCTCTCCGCCGGGAGGCTCTTGTTGTGCGTGGAGGAGGCGATGTCGTAGAACGCGGCGATCTCGCTCAGGTCGGAGAACGCGCGCGCGGACGTCTCGGGGAGCTTGGGCGTGTACCCGTCGAGGTACTCGCTGTCGCCATCCTCGGGGAGGAGGTTGAGGCCGCAGTCCTGGAGCTCCTTCAGCAGCGTGGCGGGGCTGCGCACGCGGGGCCTGCGCGTGCTGTTGTCGCGATCGCTGACGTCCTCGACCTCCTCGGTGTACATGACGTCGTGCAGCTCGGGGAGGTTCGGGCCCTTGAGCCGGAGGCCGTCTTCTGTGATGACGAACTTGAGGTGGTAGCGCCCGGCCTGCACGTCCAGCTCCACGGTCAGGGGTGCCACGGGCCTCATGCTCCAGCACTTGTACGGCAGGTCCAGGTGGCGATCCTGCGTGATGGAGAAAGAGGCGAGGCGCGCCGAGAAGAACGAGACCTTGCGAGCGTCTGGCTCCCAGACGATCTCGGTGATGCCTTCCGTGGACCATTTCTCCGACGGGGCGTCCCACCATGACACCGTGGGGCTCTGTGCCACCAGAACGTGCCCAGGAACCTTATACTCGATCTTGCAAGGCTGGACCGTGATCGCCGTGCTGGTCATGGTATGCTCCGTGTTCGGGTACGGGAGCTTGATGAGCTCCTGCCCCGCTGGGGGGATCTGCCTGATCGTCCAGGTCTTCACTTTTTTGCTGAAGGGTGGGATTGAGAGCAGGTCGACGCGGATCATGCCGCCGACTGACATCTGCGAGGGGTCCTTCCCCTGCACGCTGTCATACGTTGTGTAGAGCGCCCTCACGCCGATGGAATGCCCTACCATGTGACCCATCGACTGCATGGCTATCGACTTGGGCAAATCCAACCCGATGTGCACTGGTCGAGCGCCCGCGCTCGGGAACTCGATCTGCTTGGCCCGGAAGCCTTTGCTCTGCAAGTGGCCCCAGAAACCCATTTTGACGTGCTCGCTGTCCGTTTTCCACCACATCAGCACCTGGGAGTTATTGGTCTGCTCTCGCTGCTCTATGGTCTGCAGCAGGTGCATCGTCGCCACGTCTATCTGCTCGATCTCCAGGTCGCGGATCGAGTGGATGTAGTGCATGCACAAGTCCTGCTGAACAGTCCTGCCGTCCTCGCGGGCCCTGCAGTACCGTTCCATCAGGTCGCCGACTATCTCCTCGGACTCCTGGCACTTGGCCATGGCGTCCTCCACCTTGTGGATCCTCTCCTCGCGCACCATGGTCATGTACGTGGTGATCTGGCTCTCGTAGGCCACGTCCGGTCGGGTGTGGCACGACACGAACTTCTGCCAGCTTATCTGGTCGTCCAGCTTGGACTGCTCGTACTCCAGGTTCTGCTTCCGCTCGCCCTTCATGCGGACCACGACGCCGTGCTCCTCCTCCAGCCTCTCCGCCTCGAGCACCCGCTTCTTGGCGTCGTCCTCCTCGTCGAGGCGGACGCGGTGGGCATTCAGGAAGTCCTGCTCCAACTTCAACAGGCGGTCCTTCTCTTCGTGGCGCTTCTGGTCGACTGATCCGCCACCGTGTTCCCTGGCACATGGCGAAGTCTCACGATGCCCTTCCCGATGCGCGCATCGCATGTTCCTCCCAAAAGCTCCAGAGCACCAAGGACCAGCCACGATGCCTTCCAGAGGAGGCCAAGAAGGCCTCCCAAGTGCCTACGTACGACAAAGAGGCACACGAGAGCCGAACATGGTCCCACAACTGTCCCCGTGTGGCGCCCACAAATCACCCAGGGCCCTCCAATAACGCAAGTGGTGCATATGACACCCTTCAGGAGGTGCGCAAAACGCAAGCCGATGTTCTTCCGCTAGCCGCCACTTCACGCCCAAAGAGTCGGCGGCGAGCCTGGGGGGGAAGTGCAGGGGCGGGCCTTCTCAGAAGGCTCCGAAGCCCCCCGGCCTTCTGAACCAGTTTTCAAGCCTTCCCCGAAGGCCAAACAACAACTTGTCAAAGGCCCGAAGGCTTCCGAGGAACCCCGCCGCCGTCCAGGAAGGCCTCCTCCCTCTCGGCTCCCCTTCCCGCTCGCCGCCGACAGGATCCCAGAGCACACCCATCAGAGGCCGCAGGGCGCTCCACGCGCCCCCCCCCGAGACACCCCACTGAGCGACACGTGAACTCTTCCCCTGCAGGTCGGATTTTTGAAACGCCCACCAATGAGCCCATCAAGGGCGTGCGCGCCCAACCACGTACATGAAGACAGCCCCCCAGTGCGCGAGGCCAGCCTCGTGATACGAGCGGTCGCGCAACGCGCATGTTCGAAACCAACGCGAACTCATGTTTATGTACGTTTTTGTTTCGATCCGGACCTGCAGATTTGAATTTTCAACCGCCCGCTGGGGCCGGGAATCCGAAGGACGTCTGCAGCAAGATGAAAGGGGGTGCCCGAGACCCCAGCTTCGATATGAAACGCAGAGACAAGACTCACACTTGGTCGCAGTTTGGGGCCACCCCATACTGCATCAAGGTGGCGTGCAGATCCTTCAGAGACAACCCACGACTGCACGGTTTCCGCCTGGGCAGTAGGCGACCCGAGGAGGAGGAGGAGGAGGAGGAGGAGGAGGAGGAGGAGGAGGAGGAGGAGGAGGAGGAGGAGAAGGGGGAGGGGGAGGAGAAGGAGAAGGAGCAGGAGGAGGAGGAGGAGGAGGGGGAGGGGGAGGAGGAGGAGGAGGGGGGAGGATAATGATGATGATGATGATGATGATGATGATGATGATGAGGAGGAGGAGGAGGAGGAGGAGGAGGAGGAGGAGGAGGAGGAGGAGGATTTGTTGCAGGCCCAAAAAGGCAGAACAAAACCGCGGTGCTCAACAAAGCGCGGGCCAACGTGCCCTGGCCAACGGCCAAAACACCAAGGGCACGCGCGCAAAAAGGGGGAATCACGGACACAAGCTGGGACCTGACCTTTTGCTTCCTTTCCCTGACTAACTCCCAATAGCGCCAGAGACGCTGTGCCATAGGGAGGAAATCAAGAAAAAGAAAGCAAACCAAGGACCGCCCTACACCCCGCGCCAAAATGGCGCATGGGGGTTCGGGATCGGCGCCCAAGGGACAACACATGAAGCATTGCCCAGCGCCCGCACCCCCACAAGCACGGCAACAGTATGCCCGCGGCAAAGAACACTGCAACCAAAAAGTTGCAGGCGGGATGCCGCGGGCCCCGCCTCCGTGATCGTCAAGGGCGTCACCTCAGACCAGGACGTGCCACGGGGGTCACCCCGCGCCCAGGCCGCACCTCTTGGCCGAGGTGACAGGGCACTAAAAGCCCTGGCCTGGCAGCTGCAACGGCGACAGCGGCGGCAGCAGGGCGGGGGGCGGGGGGGGAAGGGCCACTCTGCGGCCCAGGAGCGCAAACAACGTCCACCCCGGAACTCAATCCAGGGCCGTGCCGCAACTCCCAAAGAGGAAAGGGGCGACGGACACGACGACGAAGCGAGACACGAAGGACGACAACGAACGACCACGAACCTCCCAGAGGGAAGTGCCGCCCTCCGCCCGTTCCTTATCGCACCCGCGAGCGGGCGGGATAAGGAGCGTGACATCATCGGACCCACACCGCATTCAGGCGGTGCCACACGGAGCCCAGGCTGCACCGCTTATCCGCGGTGGCGAGGCATTTGAAAATTGCCTCGGCCTGACGGCGAGAGGAGGAGGAGGAGGAGGAGGAGGAGGAGGAGAAGGAGGAGGAGGAGGAGGACAGGACGGGTCGCCGAAACCCTTCGGAGAAAACCTCCACCCGCGACCGCCCCAAGACAACTCCAAGCAACGGCCTGGGACCGGCCCGGAGCTGCCCGAGCCATCCCGGGGCCTCTCCCAACGATCCCCACCGCTGGACTGGGGGAGCAAGAGCAGTACGAATGAATGACCATTTCTTCTTTTCGGCCTTCCGACGGCCGAAGACGGCCCAAGAGGGCCCCAGGATCGCCCCTAAGATCGCCAAAGAGGCCTCCAATATGGGTTTATAACGATCCCAGAGATCCCAGCAAGGCCCAAGAGCGCCCCAAGACGGCCCAACCCATCAGCGTATTCCCGTCGACGATACGGACGGAAACGAACGAGCCCAGACACCTTGGCGCTCAATTTTGTCCTTTGCGTGGGCCCCCAGAAGTCTGGGCCAGCTCCCCAGGGCCGGCTTTTCGTCCTGCGTCGTTGTCTTGACTGCCCCTGATAGCCCGAAACCGACCGCTCGAACTTTTGTGGGAGTGTCGGCTCTCCGGGAGCGTGTTGGCGTCGATGGAAGGAAGGCTGCGGACGGCAACGAAGCGGGCTCCCAACGGCGGCGCGTCATTGACAGTCTCTCGTCTTCCCTCCCGGTGGTTGGCGGCGCGCACAAGTGGGTAGGGGGAGGGGGAAGGCTTCTTAGAAGGAGGCTGCTTCTCACAAGGCGCCAGCCCTACACCTATGGGGAAGGCCCGCGCCTTCTGAAAAACAGGGGTGCTTCTAAGAAGCCCTTCCCTCCTCCCGAGACCCCCTCTGCGAGTGGCTGACTTGCTTCGGCGTCTCGACTGTGCAGCCCCCCAGACCCGGAGAGTCAAGTCGGCTCCACGTGGCTCCCAAACTTGAGGCAGCCAAAGGATGTCGGAGCCCAGACCTCCGACGTCGCGCTTTTGCTTTCTCTTCCGGCGTGGACCACCCCACGAATCAGAGGCCTGGACACCTCACCGTGGACCCCTCCCCCCTCTGGCACCGACGCTGCTACTCCCCATACCTCTCCTGGGGTGCGCTCCGACTCGAATCTCGCGGAGAATCCGGCGGCGGCGACGAGGGCCCCGTGGGAGGCCCGAGACGGGGAGCACGGGCGAGGGACAGCGGCAAAGGTACCCCTTCCTCCTCCGCCACGGCCCTCCGTGCGTGGCTGGATCGGATCTCTCTGCGTCGAGCCACTCAAGTTATGGTAACGATGGGATCTGGGACTTAGAAAAAGCGGCCCTGGATATTCAGAGAATCCGTCTTTGAATCTAGTACGCCGGTTCCTGCGTTTACTAAAGGATGTTTTGCTTTGTTTTGACTGGGCGGCGCAATCTAATAAATCCTTCCCTCGCTTTAGAAGATCACAGTTTGTTCAATGATTCGTTCTAAGCGCGCGTGAATTCATTACCACGGGTCCTCCTCCTCCAAACTTCGGGGGCCCTGGCTCGTGGCCGAGGCACCGTCTGCGCGCGCGGGGCGCACCGCGGCCCCCCTCCCCCCCCCCCCCGCGCGCGGTTCCCCCTCTGCTTGTGGCTGCGGTGGACCGCCAGCAAACCTCTGCAGGCGGCCCCTAGATCGCCCAGGCGGAGGAGGAGGAGGAGCAGGAGGAGGAGGAGAAGCAGGAGGAGGAGGAGGAGAAGGAGGAGAAGGAGGAGGAGAAGCAGGAGGAGGAGGAGGAGGAGGAGGAGGAGGACCGAGGAGGAGGACCGAGGAGGAGGACCGAGGAGGAGGAGGAGGAGGAGGAGGAGGAGCAGGAGGAGGAGGGAGGAGGAGGAGGAGGAGGACCGAGGAGGAGGAGGAGGAGGAGGAGGAGGCAGAGACTGTCCGATGCTGACCACCTGGCAGGCCACCCAAGCCCAAGCCGAAGTCCCGAGCCCTTAGTTGAGGGGGCGTGCCCGCCCGTCGGAAGCAGCACGTGGAAGCGTGAAGTAGGCAGGCGGAGCAAGCAGTTTGGACTCGGGTCCGGCCAAGTAATGACAAAAACACAACAAGCACATACCGATCATTGAAGAGAGAAGGCGCTTAAATTGGATTGGGATCTGGATATCAAACAATACCTACGTTCGGCGTCTGGCGTGTACGGGTGTTATTTGCATGTTTGGAAAGTTGTTTCTTTGATATTCGAACTTCGCCAGGATGCCCCGCCCCCGCACTGGGAATGGGGGGCAATCTGGGGCCTTCAGGTTGGGTTGGGGCGGCTTGGTGGGCAGAGAGATGTCGGAAAGCCCCCTTTAGAAATCTTCCGAGAGGCTCCCGAAAGATTCTCCGGGCTGGGGCCCCGGGGAAAAGAGCCGTCCCGCGCCACAGCCAAGCCGGGCCGGGGGGAGACAGCTCTCAACGCTAGTGGTACGAAGGCCCGAAGACTGCCAGACGTAAGCGAGCCCCCAAGGAGTCCTCGGAGAAGCTTCCGAAGGATTCCTGGGGCCCTGGCACGCAGAGCGAGTCAAGGTAGCCAGGGGCAGGGGACTCTGAAGCCGAGCCGAGGAACCTGCGAACAACTCCGAAAGTTTAGGCTCGCGCCATCTGTCTTCGTCGAGCGAGACAAAGCGCACGGAGCATAACGTTCCACTCGTGGGGTGGGAGGGCGCCTCAGAACCGACGTCGTGAAAAAGTCAAAGCATCGCGAAACATCGCACCTGGAGCCCTAGACCCTGTCGTTCTGCGTCGCTTTTCGAGCCAGATCGATCTTAGAGGGTACTGGAGCCCGAGACAAGGCGAAAACGCCCAACTCGAACCAAATTGAGACGCCATGGAATCCGTGTAGAAAGTTTGTCGATCTACAAAGGTTCTGCGTAAACTGATCGAAGATCTGTCGTCGAG